TGGGTTGCAGTATTGAAAATGTGTAGTATAGTTTAGTAGCATCACTGTGTGTGTGTTTTGTCTAAGGATTTGGCAGTAGTGGTAGCCCAAAAAGAGCAGTCGCCTCGAAGCAATCTGTGCGAACAGCTCACACCATTCCTATCTGTACTCCAATCCCTCCACCTGCACGTTCCGTGTTTGCAATCTCATGTCGTTTGAGTGAGGGGGAGGTTTTCAGTGTGTGTGTGCGTGTAGTACTGTATCATCGCTGTGTGTAGGTGGTGTAACCAGTAAGAGAATATTGCGTGGGAGTGAAGTACCATTCAGGTGCACATGTGTGTTGTAATGTGTGTGTCGGAGAACATGTTTTGTGCTAATTATTCTCCCTCCACTCACAGCTGCAAAGAACAATTCATTTAAATATAATGCCATATCTGCCCTTTAATGGTAAAATTATTGAAAAAATAATGTATTATTTTTTATTGTTAACTATTACATCACATAATGTTGCAGTAAAGCAACCAGTGTATTGAGATACGACTTAATGGCCAACATGACTGTTTCTTTAAAATTATGTTAGATATTGTGTGGTTTGTAAAGTATAGAAAGCTCTATTAGAGAGTAAAACGGCAAAAAAGCTTTCATTTTGAAATGCAAACATCATAATTAGGATGCAATATCATGATGAGGTATCGGGTTGGGACGAGATAATCATAGTGTGAAATAAGTTAACAGCTTTAAATTAAATTGGAACAAAAATGTATAGCATGATCTAACTCTTTTGATAGAAAAACAACTTACCACACTCCTGCTATGATAATTTCATATTCCAAAAACCTTGAACTCAACCCTATTCCTGACATTTTGAATTGAAAAAGCTTCCTGGAAGGGAAGCAAAACGTCTTTAAACTTGGAAACAAAGTCTAGTGGATTGCTTTTAACTTTCTTTTTTTGGAATGAATATGACCTGAATGACTGAGAATCTTCACCAACATCAACAATTTTTTCCTTTAGTATAAGCATTTTGATAGAGTTAGAAAAATATTTTGATACACCCACTTAATTTAATTTTAGGTTTTTTTTAGGACTTAGCTGAGTTAAACTATCTGCACCCATGCTGGGCTAGAACAATTAAGCACAGCAAGATAAGGAACATTTAGACATGAAGAAAGGCTAAGCAGAATATTACTAGATTCAAGAATATGGTAGATGTTGAATAAAAATATAGTCCATTAAAATCCTAAGCACTACAAAATTTACATAGGTCAATATTAAAAGCAGAGGTGAGTTCTGAAGAGTTTCATTCAGGCTGTTGCTTTTACTTCAGTAACCTTAAAACAATGCATTCACTTCTTCTGTTACTTTAGTACCAATGTTGGCTTCTCTACCCACGTCTGGTCACTTCAGTGACTAAAAACAAGCATGTTTTAAAAAAGGTGCAAACTTTTAAAGTTAGATGTAAAGGGCTTCTGTCAGCTTCTTGGTTCTAATGTTACTTTCTGTCATTTGGGTTTGCTTTGCTATTTGGAGGGTAAATGAAAATACATTATAGCACAATATTGCCTTTGTTTAAATAGGTTTTAAAACTTCATATTGTTGGCAATATATTTCTCATCTCTTAATGTGTTGTTTTGATAATTTTTATTCTAATGATTGAAAAACAGCTAAGAATTAGGACACAATATCTGACTGCATCAGAAGAAACCTAATAAATGGTGAATTAATTCATTTTTAGAATTAAGTAATTGGGGTTAAGTAGGCAAGAAGTTATGTTGTTTGTTTTTATTACCTGACTAAATGTATTTTCCATTAACTTTACTTATTTGTTATTTATTGTAATTTTTGACTACTTTCCCCACTGCTGTAGCGAAGAAAAGGAAACACGGCAAATTCATGACAGCTGTTTAACAAACTGCTACCTTCACGGGGGAATTTATAGTGTTACTTTACTTTGACACCATGGCACCCTTTGACCAAATATATTTCAAAATAGACAAATGTGTCTTTGATAAAACAGGAAGGAGTGCAGTAGCACTCTCTTACCCAGTTTAACAACAGTGTTCAGCAACATGTCTTATTAAAAACAACATACTGTAGGAACAGAATAATGGAGCTTTTTTTTGTGGTTTTAAAACCTTAGTCTACCTTATGTTGTCCCCCTTAGTAAGGCTCTGCATTATAACCTGAAACATGTTTTTATCCTTTTAAAGCGCTAAAAAAAACAAAAAAAAAAACGAGAGCAAATGTCCTTTGGCAATGTAAAACATACTGTGGACATAGTTTACTGCTTCTTGAGTCATCTTGTAGGCAGGCAAATTCATCCTCACAACCAATGAAGCCTACTGTATTATTGGGCTAAAAATAGAAAACAATAATGTTTCTATTTAAAATTAGACTTCATTTGCTGCCTCAAAATGGTGCAAATTGGTGCATAAAACTGCACAGCCAATGGCCTTGCACTCTTTCCCCATGGAGATAGTTAAAGATACAGTGTCTGCTGCACCTTTTTCTCCATTTCTTTGAATTTAACTCCACAAGCTCATCATTAAAAGTAAATCTGTCCATATGGATTGATACAGGAAAACACAAACTTAAACTTTTCATTTACATGCACAATGTTTGATGCACTTACATTTTCAGCTTAAAAAAAAGATCCACAATATTTTTTTATTTACTATATTAGGGCTGAAACAATTAATCAGAATAATAATCTAATATTGAAATTACTGACTATTAATTTATTAATCAATTAATTGTTAACTAGAGTATAGAGAGTGTAGGTGACAGAGTAACCCACTTAGAGCAGTAATTATATCCAAATTTGGAAGAAAAAAAAAAAAGAATAAAAACATTTTGCATTTGAAATAAAAAAAACTTTATGGTCTGTCAATAGGCTCTATCCAGAACTCCCTTAAGTGAAAACATTTTAGTTTCACCTGGTTTAATTTCCTTAAAAAATCTTTTTTAAGAAAGCTTTGGCTATCCCATCATTAATTGATTAATCGAAAAAAAATAATTGACAGATTTTTGATTTGTAAAATAAGCAATAGCTGCAGCCCTAGACTATATAAAACTAGCTTTGATGTCTCACCAAGTAAAATTTCCTCATGACCTCCTGCCTGCATTTGCAACTGACTCGTCCAATTATTCTCTGAACTAGAATTTAACAAGTTGAAGTGACATGATCTCCTAGGTACATGCAATTTAGATTTCAGTCAACAATGACAGTCATCATAACAACAGTATATGTGGTATTCTGGGCATTTTTACATGCCTAAAGCAAATTGCCCTCTAAGAGAAATTATTACTTGAACGACTGCATTCATGGTAAATAAAATTATTAAGAGCCGCTACAAACAATAAAGGTAGGAATGTTTCATGCAAGTAACATCTGTCTTGAGCCTCCCACCTTTTCTGCATCATAATCAATTCTTAAATTAGTAAGCCTAACCAAGTAGATAAAGAAAACTCTAAAAGGGAAGATTTAGATCTGTGATTGAACGTTCCAAGAAATTACCGTTACGTCTAAAGAGCCCAATTCAATTCTTCCAACCACAAATCTGATGCTTATATGCTCTATCTATAATTCTACATGCATTACCAATGTCAAACCTAATAACTAATTCACTTTTAAGATTACTATCAATTTTTATTTTTCTGTAAACTGGATTGACTTTGGCTTCTAAGAAATCATCTGTTAGACATTCAGTAGATTTCTGTACTATATTCTACATATGGACTCCAGGGCGTCTTCGGATTTACTGTTTCTCTGAGTGTCTGTGATATTTTTACCCTTCCGTGTTTGTCTTGGCTGTCAGTGGAGCTGACACTGATCGGGGGGAGATGGCAGGTTTCGTTGTGCATCAGTGCTTTCACGTTTGTGCTCCGCTGATTGTTACCAACCTGAAAAGTGGAACCATGTCACGCTTTTCATATCCTTTGGCGGCAGGTTGCATAAGATTTCTTTGATGTGCATTCTTCTTGTTTTCTACAAATCTGGGCCCAGGGAGGAAAAGTGTAATGCTGTTGAAAGGCCATAAACAGAGGGGCATGGCCTGATAAGAAGATGGTGTACATTCTAGCTTGTAACACTTGCGTCCTATAGATTCGGAAGGGCCGTCTCACTAAATGACAATGCTGTAGGAGTTATAATAAGAGAGTGTAGGTGTTAAGACAGACGCACAGGATCCCTTTGTTCCATTACTTAAGCTTTTAAATACTCTGAAATAAGTGCTGCTTCCAGGAGTGAAGTCACCGCAGCCAAGACGTCTGTCTAAAAGCATTTGTAATTTGCGCTGATTTAAATAAAAACATTTGTGTCATGTCAAAAGTACTCTCACAGCGAGAATTTTTCTGTCTGCTTCAACCTGGATGGAAATAAATCAGAAGGCAGAAAATCTGTAAATGGACTCCTCAATATTTCTATTTGCAGCCCTGTTTTATCATGTACTGTAGGTCTGACAATATAGACTCTATGCCCGCAAATGAAGACGATTTTAACCGTCGTTTCTCTCTTTGGTTGCTTTTTTTATTTTCAAAAGAGGAAGAGGGGGGGCACTGTAAATTTGATCATGCATACTCATTTTGTTGCAGCAGCAGTAGAAACTACAAGCTGCGATTTATTTCTGAATGCCACCGCTGACTTTTTGAGTAACTGCTAAAGAAATATTAGGATTTTGTGATTGTGTTATCACTAGAGTTTAATACAGCTTTCGCTTCAGTATTGGGTTGTTGACAATTTTTCTTTAAAATTTACCTTTTTATTGTTTCCTTTGTTATAATAAAATGTTATTACGGTTGTATTTCTGGTATTTTGTTCTCCTTTTCACCCTAACAAAGACACTTACTGGGCTGTTCATCAGCTGCATTAAACCTCGAAAGAAACTGCAATCGTCCCTAACAATACTTTAAAAAACTGGTCAGAATTACCTTGTTGTAAATGTTGATCTTCATATTGAAACATTGCTTTGTGAGTTTAGACTGAATATTGATGCATTTTGTTTCCCCTTCTCTTTTCACAGTGTGTTGTTTCGTGGTTCACAAGCGTTGCCATGAGTTTGTCACTTTCTCCTGTCCCGGCGCGGACAAAGGACCTGCCTCAGATGTAAGTATAGTCCAATAGGTGCCTTTAGATGTCAATAACACTTCAAATTTTCAACAGCTTTTCAGATGGAGATCCCAAATCTCCATATTTTATTATTATATTTCATGTTTGACCACCCACAAGGTGTTACACATCCACATGTGCAACGAAAAAGCCTAATTACCTAAGGAGTGAAGTTTAAAAAAATACATTGTGTTTTTTTGTCAAATAGGTTTTTATCTAGTCTCAGAAAGGATCTTTTCATCCAACTCTGGTCAAATGTTTAGCATCGTTACCCTGATAGAAGGTGAATCAGGCTTAATGTTTTTTGCGTTCTACAACAGCTTCTGTTGAATGTTTTTCTTGTGTCTAGCTCCATCCATCAAGTCACAGTTTTGCTCTAATTTTACCAGAGAACCTTATGCTGTATGTTTGCGATTTCCCCTACAGGATTTATGGCAAACTGCAGACAAAACCTTTAATTGCTTCTCTTCTCCAGTGGCCTCATCTTGTCGCTCTTATATAAACTCTAGTTTTATAGATTGCACAACTATAGTCTTCTTTTAAAGTCTTCTCTGGCTCCCGCACAGTGTGCCTGTGGTGGAAATGGGGTCTGGCCGGGGCCTTTCTCTATTTGTTTTTTGGTTGCATGTTCAGACCATGTCCCTTTGTAGTGTGCTCCGGTTTCAAGGCTTTTGTCTGCAGACAATCAAGCCGGCCGCTGGCTGCAGCTCCGGTGGACATCTCGACTTCCCTTGGTCCTTCAAGTCTTTGCTGCCATGTTAGGCCGATGGATGCCCAGCTGGTTGGAGCCTCTCCGGGGGGGGGGGGTCTTCCTTTCTTGGTGCTCCCCGATTTTGCTGAGTTTGCCCTGCAAAATGGGAGATTGCAATGTGGCTGTTGGCTGGATTGGGGAGGCTTTATAGCCTACGTCCATCTGTCCTTTGTTGCTCTTGTGAGCTTGGTGTTGCAGGTCTTCAGCCCTTCTCGCCACATGAACAACTACTTACCTTCAGGTGACAAACTTACTGATATATTAACACCCACTCCACTAAAAAAAACAAAAAAAACCGGACACACACCAACAAACCCACAATCTTATTCCTGTAACGACACACAAATAGTCCAAATGGTTGGAAGTGATACAAACACATAACTACTGTCAATCTGGCGTTGCAATTTTGTTATTATAGTATACCTAGCATGCAGTGATATAATACATACAATTCAGTTTGAAATAAAATTAGACTCTAGTGGGAAATAGAAGAAAGAGACATTGCATGAACATTGCTCCTCGATGAACCTCAATCAAACCTCTCCACGCTGTTGAGACACAGTTGAGCAGCCAACCCATAGTTTCAGTTCTCTCTACTTTTTTCATCCTTGTATTAAACAGATAAGACCCCCTTTAGCATATGAATTTACAGAAGCTGCTGTATTAGTAATTTAAGGAAATAGTACATGTGTAGCTTCATTATTGACTTAAATTTGTTACATAGAGTTAAAATCAAAATCAGAGATGAACTCTTGGCCTTTTTTTCATGCTGCATTTTGCTTTTAAAACATCAAGTGCTTTTAAGAGGTGCTTAAGTCACGGGTATTAAAAAAATACAAATCCACTCTCTTATCTCAGAGAACCAAATGATTTGCCCTTTTCTTGTTAATTATCTCAGCACCACTTCTTAAGTCCCACCTGTTGTCACCTCCCTCTGGAGTGCTCTTTCAATCTGACAAACTCACTCTCTAAGACGCCTCCAGAGGAAATACATGTGTCTGCCTATTGGCTTCCTGACTGATAAAGCTATATCTGTTTCTAAAACCCACCTAGGTTATTTTCCCCATCTTTCACATCACTTCTTTTGCAGCTCTTAGTTGGTGCAGTGACTCAAAGAGCGTCTTCTCTATAATCTCTGTTTCAGAAACTCCCTAATGGCCAAGCTTTTCCCACATGCAACCTGAACCATTATCTTTTTATTTAGCTTTTTTTTATATATGTTCTCCATTTGATAAAGAACCTTTTCTGTATCAAATGTGATCTTGACAAAGGAAATTCTATATAAGCTAATTGACCCTAGTTTTAATGTCCCACACAAATCCCACTGTGCATAAAAAAATAAAAAAATAAATGGTCTTTCTAAAATGTCACATCTCAAAATTTTACAATATAATGAAAAAGTTAAATAAGCTTTGTCGCTCCTTTCAGAGATAGAAATATTTCAAGACTTTATTTCTTGTAGTTTTGATGAATAAGGCTCATAAATCCCTTAAGTTCAAAAGAAAAAAATATGTTGAATAAAAATAAAAAAAAGAAAACATAAAAGAAATTTAAGTCTTCTAAAAAATATGACTATTTCTTCTCATTCGGTACATTGTTCCTCCTTTTTGCATGGATTCCTTCATAAATTAAGTGTGGTTGTGCCGAGGTCTAATGATAGTCAAGATCGTTTTAATACGGGCCTTCATCTGCCTCTTAGTATTGACAGGTTAGGGTTCGGGTCAGCCCAGGTTGCCAAGCACCCAAACATAGGAACATACTATGATCATTGTGCTGCAGCTTTTTGTTACCTTCAGTAGTAAAGACAGGTGCAAAATCCAGTTGAAAAATTAAATCCTCACCATACAGCTTGTCAGAATGAGAAGCATCAAGTGCTTCTTTTTGAGGGCTGCAAAAACTGTGGGCCGCACAGCAAAAGGCATGGTAACCCAAGGCATCACTGACTCTGGGAACTTCATACTGAAGTAGGATACTACTCCTCTCCACTCTTCCTCCAAGCTTCAGGACTTGATTTCTAGATGAAACGAAATATTGATTTTCTCTAAAATGAGGTCTGCAGAGCAATGAGTAACAGTCTAGCTCCTTTTCTCTGAGCCCAGGTAAGATTTTTCTTAAATCTCTGGTTCAGAAGTAGCTTGAGACGAGGAAAAGGACATTTAAAGTTGATTTGTAGATTTGTTTCTTTGCATATTGGCTCCTTTGGCACTAACTGTAGTCTTTTTCAACCCTCTGTGAAGCTACAACTAATAATTTAATGGATTTTCCAGAGCAATCCTCTCAAGGGTGTGAGAATCCTATTGCTGGTTCACCTTTGCACTTTGTGAGCAACCAGCTTTGTTGTCAGCTTCACTGGGACTGCACTATGGACATCTGTCAAGTCAGCATTTTGTAACCTACTGACCCAGACTGGGAGCCTATTAGTGGCTGAGGAAACATTTGCAGGCATCTATTAGCTGATTGCGATGCCACACCATTGCTTTCCCATTTTTAACTAATTACATTTCTGAGATGTACATGTAAGCATGAGGTTGTGCTTCGATTTGTTTTCCTATGTGTGAATTGGTTCTGTTCTGGTGTAGACTAGTAATAATAGTAGTGATGAAACTAGCGATTATTTTGTAAATCGATTAATCTGTCAATTATTTTTTTTGAATAATCGATTAATAATCAGTTAGTCAAAGGTTTGTTGAAGAAGATTTATTACTAAATTAAACCAGGTGAAACTAAAACTTTTTTACTTGAGGAGTTCTGGATAGAGCATATTGATAGACAAAAAGGTTTAGGTTTTTCATCGTAATGCAAGGTTTTTATGTATTTTTTTTTACAATGTTGATTAAATTACTGCTCTAATTGGGTTGGTCTATCAGCTAAAGGCATGTTTTAGAGTCTCTAAGCTCCAGTTTACTATTAATCGGCTCATCCAGGCAAAGCCTCATCACTCCCATCCTCTCCTCCCTGCACTGGCTCCCGGTCTGTTTTCGGATTGATTTTAAAGTTTTAACACCTGTTTTTAAAGCCCCTCATGGTCTCGCTCTGTAATATTTAACTGAGTTTTTGACCGTACAGTGCCCCAGCAGAGCTCTCTGGTCTGCTGATCAAATGGTTCTGGACGTCCATAGGTCCCGGTATAAACAGTGGGGCAATCGTTCCTTTGTAGTTACCACACCTAAACTTTAGAACAACCTGCCCCTCAGTCTGCAGGTTCTTACAGATCTGCACCTTTTGAAGTCCATATTAAAGACTCATTTTTTAAAACTGGCTTCTAATACTTAGGACACATAGTTTTATGCTATTTTTTTTATTTATTAATATTTTTTTTGCAATGTTTTTATCTTTCTGTGAAGCACTTTGGTCTTCCCAGTGTTGTTGTAAAGTGCTATATAAATAAACATTGATTTGATTTGAATCGATTATTAAATTAGTTGATGAATATTTCATTAATCAAATTAATCACGTTTTATCTGATTGATAGTTTCAGCCCTAAATGATATAAAAGATTTTAAATAGTCTACATATTGAAATGGTATTTTTTTTAGAAGCACATGTATGACCTTTAATTTGAAATATATTTTTTCGTATTCACCTGAAAAATGAACAATCTGTCGCACAACTTTTTATCATGCCGCTTTGTAATGTTCTTTTGAGTATTTATATTATAGTTATGAAGCGAATTTGTTTCCTATTCCATTCATCACTTCAGTTCTCAACATCCATCTCCATCGTTTCCTTTCTATTTTCTGCCAGCTCCCTTCGTTTTTGGCACTTGAACATTTCTATATTTGGCATACATGTACTGTAGCGTTCCCCTTCCTTGAAAATACCTCCCACTAGTCTCCTTTTAAACCCAACCTGAAACCACCCCAGTACATTGTCTATTTTAAGTCCACCCAGGGGTCTTCCGCTCTTAATTATGGGGCCGTGCCACCATCATCATACTGTTTCTTTAATGAGTTCATGACCTTATGACTTCGACCCTTGGGAAAGTATGCTACCTCTGCTCAAAACTAGTTGCTTATTTTAATACTTGAAATGGTCCAAGAGCAGAGTACTTGTCAGTATCATTAATAATAATAATTAAAAATCACAAATATTTACACCCAGTTAAAGCAGAAATATTGAGTTATTTAGATTGATGCCTAAAGCAACAAATTAAAAACAAAACCTAAAACATTTAAGTGTGTTGTCTGCAGGATCATGTCTTTGTGCCTCATTAATTCCCACACTACCTTTCATTTTTTTTCCTTCT